AACTCCGGTGCAACGCGTACCCCCACCAAACTCTTCCCGTACCCCTGGGGGTACGCGTACCACACTTTGGGAAACACTGGCTTAGACAGACAGTGGTGTGCTCTGTTTCACATGCTATAGTTTGCTATATCAATGTGTCTTATGCTATTGAGTTCATAAGAGTTTGATAGACCACCCAATTCATAAAATAGTTGTCAGAATTGAACAATGTAAGAAGACAGAGTTATCTTATCAATAGCTGTAAATGACCACCAGCTTACTTTGTTTCAAAAATGTATCTTTTACTGAATCTGGTGAGATAGAAATATTATTTATTCTAATAGTGATACTTGTTAGCTACCTTTGGAAGAATTATTTAGCGATATTCATTTATTGGTGATCATTTCTTCAAACCTATCACACCGTAATCTATCATGCCAAAGCTTGGTTTTATGGATGTGTATCAGTATAGCAGTTAGTGATGAAAATCTATTGTTGTAATGGCTATCAGGAATCTTCTCACTTTTTTCAGATTGGGAATTGATTTGGCTTTAGTGGGACATAAAAGCTAGTGAGTGAAGCCAAGGGCTGTCTGTCTATCTGTCTGTCTGTCTCTTTTTCTCTTTCTCTCTCTCTTTAATTAAACTTTTAAAAAATTAAAGATAATTAATATGATAACTCGCTTGAGTTCATGTTGAATGTTCTAGGTTCTATCAACCTAAAACCAACCATCTGAAAATACATTTTAGACTAGAGAGTTCTACTGCCTTATAATTTTCAGAGGTATCATGCAACTCCAGATAGTAGACTTCTTGTTTAAGCAGTTCAAATACACTTCTCTGGTCCAGTATTAAAATGTTTTTTAAACAGCTACATGCTGGGGAAAAACAAAAAGGATTCTCTCTATAGCACAAAGCAAACATCATCCTCACTAGTTTAGATTTAAATTCAATTCAATCCTTTATTGTCAACGCACAACGAGTAAAATAAAGACCAGTTATTTTAACACAGATGTAGCCAATTGGTACCAATTTTATTTTGCTTTTTACTTTGCAAATTTCAAGACATATATGCATAGAAGCCAAATAAATAAAATAATTTTGCAGTCCCAGATAGTACTGAACAACCTGTGCAATGTTCCTCAGACTTTTAAGGTGAACAGAATGATCATATAGTGGTACTTAACCGTTTAATACTT